TGGAGGCTGCCATCCTGCATATTACAAATAGGGCAGAGGCCACTGTTTTGTGGGTTGACGAAATGCTTAACTTACGAGTAAAAGCGGCCGTGGTTGGTCAGAAATTGCGTTAGCTGAAAGTTGGGTGTGATCCATCTATAAGAGTATATTGCAGAAATATCTGTAAAAAATTTGTGTGTAATATTTTGATTCAAGTCCTAGTTGTTTTGCCAGTTGGTGTGAAGATCGATCCATAGCTTCTTGATGGTATGTAGGTTAAATTTGCTGTAGTCTATTGGTAAAGTTTCGTCAGCAGCCGCAGATTTTGCCAGGGCATCTGCCCACTCGTTCCCGGTGTTGCCCTGGTGGGCTTGTACCCAGATAATACTGATAGAGTTATCAGTGTATTTGACGGCCTTGTGGATTTCTTGTGCGATGGGGTGGAGATTCTTGCGACGAAGGAGGGAAATAACGGAGTTACTGACCAAATGGAGTGTGACGTTCAAGTTATGGTAGTTCGTGGTGCACCACTTGATGGCCAACTTGATGGCAAGCAGCTTCGACTGGAAGACAGAGCAGCTGCCATGCAAGTGGGCCCTGTGATGAAAGATCTCTGTCTTGTTCTGATAGGCGACAAAGCTGCAGCCACCATCTCCTCACACTGAGAATTATCTCTTTTTCCAGTTGAAAATGAGCAGTTTCTTGAATCCATTACAATGGATAACACTGTATGCACAGGAAAATTGCCATGCTACTTTCTTAGTCTAATAGGATTGACAAAACAATACTGTGGAGTATGTGCAGAAACTAATTGAAGGTGCTCAGATGACTAATCACCTAGATTGTATGTAGACAGACATTATCTCCAGTACTCCCCTAGATTACAACACAAGCAAACATATATGCTGAGCATTGAGCTAGTAGAGGGAAGATCCAGACAGAGATTTTACTATGTCTGTGCAGTGTTAAAAGTCTCATGCCTTGTAATACATTGTACTCATATGAGCATTATTCAATGCCTGGGTTTTATCTATCTAGGTAAACACCTGGATCAAGAAAAAGCAGCTTAATGTAAATAAAAGTTTAGTATTGTATTGTGAATTCTGTGAATCAAGTTTTATTATCATTATTGTTTAAGTTGACTTTCGTATGACTGACTTTTAATTTATTAGTTTTCAATGAACTGACCTGGAACTAGCTAGCTAATTTCATTTTGACTGGAGGAGTAAATTAATATTGATTTCATACCAATTATTATAATAATATATATATCAAAAGTAATATAAAGCAGTGTTTCTTAACAGGGGGCCACGGCCCCCTGGGGTCCATAAGAACTTTGCCAGGGGCTGCTTAATTATGCAAAATTTCCTTCAGAATATAATAAAAAGAAAATTAATGTATAACCGAATATCGTATTGAAAAGTGAAATAAGAAAGATAAAGTTTTCGTATTTAGTTTTTTTTATTTATTTCTTCCTGTATACAACTTTGTTAGTACAGAAGAAATAAATGCAAATATGCTACTTACACCGCAGTATTTACTGATTTTATTCCAAAGTAATTCTAAGAAACTATTAATGCTTGGAATTTTAAAAATAATTAGGAAAAATAGTAGGCTTTGAAAATTTAAATGTTTTTGCAAAAGATATGCAAAATCGTTACAAGTTGTGGGTGTTTTAGTTTAGTTTTAGCATCGACTTTGGATCGAATAATAGTGCATTTCTTTCTTATATTGTGTGTTTAGTTATATTTATTTATAATTAACCCATAAAAATGAGCAAAAAACAGAAGGAACATTATAAAATTTTTTTAATGTAAGTAATCACGGACTAGGACCTTCAAAAAGAAAATATAGTGAAGAAAATACTAGTGAAAGTTCTGATGATGATACAGTGAAAAATGCAACGGAAAAACCACAAGTCCTAAAACTGAAGGAATAAAATTAAGTAACATTAAAATTAGAAAATACGATTGTGATTATATCAAATATGGGTTCATAAGCATAGAAGTTCAAAAAATTTCATATGCAGTGTAGTTCTATCCAATGAAGCAATGAAACCAAATAAATTATTAAAAACATGGGGGTCACAAAAAAATTATGAAATATTTGGTGGGCTGCGAGTATAAAAAGGTTAAGAACCACTAATATAAAGTAATTAAGATGAACCATATTTTAACTAATAATTTGCAAGAAAAATATTTAAACATACATTGCAAGCTGAAAAATTCTGCAATCCATTATTTTGTACAAAAAAATTTTGACATTTGAAGTATAAAATAATAGGAGTAATAATAGGCTACAAATTTATAGTTTGAAAAAGTTCTATATAAATGTATTTTGAATGTACTGTACATTTTGTCAATAATTTGTAACTTCATCAGCATTAAATTATAAATTATTAACAGAATACATTAAAGTTATTTTAAAGCTGATTCAGAGATACCACAAGTGTTTTAAAATAAAAAAATAATTTCATTTCTACTAACTTTGTTTTTATTGTTATAATTTAAGAATTTTATATGAACAATCTTTATTTCTTAGAAACATTCTTGATGTGATTTCAATAAATACTATATAAAACATATGTAACCAAACATTGAAAACCTGTAGCAGCCACAAATTCCAGTATAGTGGCTAGAATATGTAGTTTGTTGTTTGCTATTATAGCCCTATAACATGTTAGGTTATCATTGTTACTTGCTAGACGACACTTGCATCAATTGTGTTGTTACATAAATCAGTTTAGACAAAGCATTTTGAGTGGTTTTTTTGTCTGTTTTTGGCTTTGTCTAGAACAATTTGCCTCTCATTTTTGGAAAAAATGTCAAAAGTTTATAAAAATAAGAACTTACAAGGGCACTGTTTTGTACCTGGTTGCAAAACTAGAAATTTTATAGAAATAACTAATTTTGTTTTAAAACTGCAGGATTTCTGATTCCTCTATAATAGCAAAAATATAAATAATTCTTCTTCTGTAGTGAGGATAGGGCTTTAGCTCTATTGCTACAAATGTAATCATCAGTAGTGACAACAGTGCCATCTAGTTCAAAGCACTTATTTCATAACATGTTTTTAGACACAAATGGCACACTAAATATTCTAGCCACTGTGGCTCTAGGTACAATCAAACTATACAGTGACAGAATGCAGAGAGAAAATCGGTGCAAAATTTAAAATATTTATATATTGATTAGCAAGCATAGGACATGCCAAAATGTTTTGTACAAAGTCAAATATGGCTAGAGCCATTACTGGTTCCTAAACACTCAAGATACAAGTTATTTGTATACTTCCTTCCACTCTGTATACATTTTAATTTTTTCTGGGAATTTTTTCCACACTGACAATTAGAAGTCATTAAAACAGTCTCTGACAACTGTTTTTAAGTCTTCAACAGTTTTATGACAGAGTATTTATACTCTGTCATAAAACTGTAATGATCTTTTTTCACAATGCCCCAAACTAAATTATCAAATCTAGAGAAGAGGCTACATCATATCAGGACAAATATTACTTTATGCCATTTATTTATGTATAGAAAGTATTTAATAGTAACTTCTCATATAAGATCCACACCTAATCCATTATTCACTGAATTTGTCGTCATGATATTCTCTGAGAGATCCAGGACATAGACATTTCATAAAGCTGGATAAGCAAGATCTTGATCATTTTTTCAGGCAATATGCCCATTGTCTTGCTTATCTAGTTGTATTGAAGCTGCTCCTACCAGGGTCTTTTTAAAAATGCTTACTGATTGGTCGGTTGATATTGGTGAATGATGTCATTAATAATTAGTTGGTCACTCTCTAACCTATTCTTAAGCAGTGGTCACTCACAGTGATTTCTAGCCACACAGGTGACTGCAACTGCAATGAGTGCAAGTTGCATGCATCTTGTCATGGTCACATTGTTCATTGGCATTACAAATCAGAAACATAATCTTATAATAAACCAATAAAATTACAGTAACTTGTTTTTTGACTTCTTTTGTGAGTTTACTGACAGTTTACATTCTATTTCAGAGTAATTACAGAATTTTAGCCACTTTTCTTATTAAAATGCAAGTAGTTCTTTTTCTGCAATAAATAAAAGAAAAAAGTTAGTCATTTTATTAGAGCTGGCAAGAATAAATGAAGAGAAAAATAACAGAAACCATTCATGCTGGGTTAAAACTTGGCAAATAAAAATCAATGGGCTAAACAATCATGCTTCCACCAGCTGGTGAACAAATTAAGGCTTTTGGATGCCGAAGGTTATCGGGGATATATCCATACAGATATGAATACTTTTCGAAGTATTTTAAGGAGGATAACCCCATAACAGCTAAAGAAGATTCACACTTCAAAGTTCTATTTCACCCGGAGAACATCTTTCATTGACACTTCGTTATTTTCAATGTTGCCACTATACAACATGGCACAAAGGCATTCGCCAATTGAACGTTTGCAATCAGTGCGAGTAGAACAAACCTCATCATTAAATTTTATTCAGTTCAACTGAATAAAATTTAATGATGAGACTTGCGAAGTGTCTGAATAAATACAATAAATAATTTGTGTTTGAATTACTAAAACTTACTGGCACGGTTTCAAAAATACCAGAATTTTTGTTTCTAGTTGCAGTTGCATTTGTGCCAGTTTTTGAAGCAGGTTTACTAGTTAACAAGAACAGCTGTGATGGTTGCAGTTACCTGCACGGTTGGAAATTGCAAGGTGTGACCATGGCTTTAAAGATCAGCAAGTCTGGTAGCAACCAGACTTGCTATCATCAGAAACTTTATCAGAATCTTCAGAAACTTTACAGGTAACATTTTTTGAATGGCACCTAGTCTCAACAGCTGAACCAGTAAGCATTTCCAAACAGACTTCCAGACATGTCTTGCTTATTCTAATAAAGCCACTCTAAAAGGCAATGCACCAATAAGCTCGTGCATAGGGACTTTATGGACATATTGTGTATTTGATTTAATAAAGAAAATAAGTAAATCTTAAGTCTAATTAAAACAATATAAGTCTTACTAATTTGAAAAACAATTTCATAATCGTGAAAAGTTTCGGGAGTAGTATCAGCATTATCGCAAAGACCTCTCAAACGATGGAGGAGAACTTCGCAAGAAGTGTCCATAATGCTTCCTTGCAATAAATATTCTTGCTGTTGAGCTATAGGAACATTTCTTCGTACTGATGCAATCGATTCCATCCTTTTCACGACAAACAATACACCAAGCTAACTCAAAAACCGTAAATACAATGGTTTAAAAGTAAATGTTTAATTTGTATCAGATTTCTCCAGCTGTAGTCACATAAGAACGAATTTTGAAAATCAATTCTCTCTTAAAAAAAAAAGTATTAATATTTAAAACAAAGGTAAGCGTGATAGTCTTGCCATATTATTTTGTTGTTCTTATAGTTGTGATAATGGCCACTAGAGGCGGCAGTTATGTTTCTTTAGCTAAAGTTGCCAACCTTACGAGAGAAAATTATCTGCCCCCAAGGACTGTATACTACATAGTACTAAACTGTAGTATATAGTCCTTGTATCTGCCTCTTGAAATTATTGCATTTCACTTAAATGTATCGTATATCCATCTCCATCCTTTATACTTACGCCCTTTATCCGTAGAAATATTAATAAGGTTCTCTCTATGTCAGAATCTCGTAAACATTTTATCTGAACTCCCTTCTTATAAAACAAAAAATTTTACACCCCATTTTACAATGAAGTTTTCACGACTCTCCCTTATATGATGCAAAACAAACCTCTGAATGAGCATAAGCTAAAATTTACGTTTCTGCATACAATTTTAACAAATCGAACATTAACAAATAATTATTGAGGCGGAGCGTCAGCAAAGCCTCTTATGCGTTTGTTACCAAAATCGGTTCGATCGATTTTGATTAAGCTTTATCATTTTTCATTAATTGCAATGAAGAATCAAAAAATGTAATGAAGGTCCACTTAAATGTAAAAAAATTACTTGTAAATGAGGGTCCATAAGTGCGTTTTCTATATACAGAAGTGTGACAATGTCCTTTCTCTCTAATGCGACTGAGCCCACCTAACGGAATTTAAGCGAGAAAAATGAACAAAACACAATAACAAAGCAATCGCAATTTCCATCGACTGCTTTCTTCTTGGATCGCCTCCCCGTGTCGGAAAGTGCAAGGATCATGTCTCCCATGGCCGATAGGTTTAGAATAATATAACATTTAGAGTTGAGACAAGCAATTGGAAGGTGTGTTACATTCTTTACAACTGCTTGACGAATATTTCCGTATCACTTATTCAAGGATGTCAACAATTCACGGACACTAATGATGAAAAATTTAAATAATGTCCGAAAAGTTATTGTATATCTTTATATGTATTTAATTCTGAGATGAAGAAATATCACGCAAATTTAAATTTAGAATAAAAATGATGATTGATAACGTTACAAAAAAATTTATTGACAAATATTCAAAAATATATTTAATAAAATCAAATGTTTAGTTTTATTCCAGTTTCATAAATTTTAAACTTATTTTAAATATATATTTTATATTTATTTCTGTCAAATTAGATTAATCGATGATAATTTTATATCTTTATCAATATTTCTTAAATGATTATTAAACATATCACTTCTGTTGTTCCGATTAATCTGATAATTTATATTTCTTTTTCTACATTAAATTCTCATTATTTTAATCAAAGTTTTCATTTATATTGAAAAAGGAGTATTCGAATTGATTCAAAACTGCTATTTAGAAAGGAAAAATTGGTTTAAGCCTTTACTTATAATTAAGTTTCCTATATAAAGTATATAGATGGACAGCTCATTTAATAAAATTAGGTTTCTGGTACAAGGTGAAGGTTTAAAAATTCAATGTTTTTTTCAATAAAAGTTTGAATCGTTTTTATTTTGAATTATAATTTGATTATTACAGCATTGAAATTCTTTATCCAGAAATTAAATTTTGTAGGAGCTACTATATGTTTTTATATTTCATTAATACATTTTTAGCACAAAAAGCAAAATAATAAAACATTTTTTTTATCAATATTATATTTAGACTTTGTAATCAATTTTAATTTTTGTTTTTAATTAAAAATATTTTTGGGGTCTATAGCCCTCGTTTCCTTGGCTATATCAGTGCATTATTCACATGATTGATTTCCAATATTTTCAATTAAAATGAAAATAAATGAAAGTGATAAGTGTTAAACTATTCATTAAATAACCGGCACGTTGCCTGGTAAAACGGCTTTAATATAGCCCATAATGGGCTTGCTATAAAAGTGTTCTTAGTACCTATAGGGCAGTAAGAGTTAAAAAAAAAAAAAAAAACAGGCAATTATTCGATGCACCCGATATTTTAAAATTTATAATGAAAAGAAATTCATTAACTTGAATGGTGCAATTTAGATTTTTAAAATTTGCACAAATAAAATAAAATCTGTTACCATTCTATCTCGATAAAAATAAGTAAATAAATATGTATATGAGCAGAAATATTTTATAAAAACGAAACTAACTTGGAAAAGCCAATCGGATAATAAACTTTTAAAAAGTAATTTTTCGTTTAGTGCATAATTTAAATTATGATAAACAATTTTTTAAATATTACTGAAATTTTCTCATATTTTACATATTCAAATGCTAAGCACGTGCAAGTATATTTGAATTAACCAATAAAAATACAATACGGCATTACATATGAAATCAAGGACGTACCATATTCACCAATAGGAGACGAGCGTCTGTCAGGCAGTATTTTTCCATCATCTGCAATGGGAATTTAATTATTTCTCGTTTTCATCATATTGGCAGATTCTTCTCGACCGAAAGGTAGGTTTATTTTTAGGTCCTTTACAATGTTTTCATTGCAGTTATGAAATTTTACATTTAAAATTTGATATTTTTACCCTTTATTTATTTTGCCTACTTATCGATTTGAAAATTCGTCTGCATTTAAACGCGAAAAATACATATACTGTATATTTAAAAAACAAAACAAAAAAAAGAATAATCTCGCAACCATAAGCGTTATTATTTTTTAATAGTTAAATGTCAAAGTTCAAAATATACCTAACATGAAAGACCGATATATTGGTATTTGATAATAGAAAAATGAAAATGTGTATTGATGTAAATTAAAACATTATAAATGTTATTAAATAGCGCCATCTTCAAAAGATTTACGAATAAAAATATAATCAAACCTAACCTGACATGTCATTCAAATTAAATATTGCACTGTAACAGAGCAATTTGTTAATACATATGCGTGATTTCATATTTATCTCGAATTTAGTAGTTTACATTGAATTATATTTAGAATAATTGCACATGCTTTTATTACGAACTGCAACTACTTTTCTTCCCTTTTTTTTAATTACAATGGATAATCATGGTTAATTTGCACGTTTTCGCACATTATATTGAATTTGTTGTATACAAAAATTGTTTTTTTAATTATTCATTTCCATGGAAACAATTCTTTTTTTTTTATTTCTGTTGTTTTTGATATCATTCGTGTAATATAACTAAAAGTAAATCTAATTTGCATTTTTTTGGTTTCTTCCCCCCTTTTTTATAGTTATTGTGGGAGAAATCTAATTAATTAGTTTTATCATAAATAATATTGTTCAAAACTTTTTTGGTACATTATCAATTGTTTTTGAATTGTTATCTAGGTTTTTATGATTAAAAACATTTATCACACGTTTCCATTCAACCTCCCTCTAGATAATTTAGATATCTTTGAAAATAAATCTTTCCCATACTAATTTTTCCTGAAATGATTTTCATAGTTATGTTCATTTAGTAATGACTTTAAATGATAGATAGATACTTTAACATAACTTCTTAAAATAATTTAAAACTGTATACAGTATACTACATATGAAAATATATTGAATTTTAGTTATTAGGTACTAGTGTTTATTAATAAACATGCCAAATTAATTAAATCATGTTAATAAAAAATTCAGCAATCAGTTCTTACATATTTTTAAAACAAAAAATATTTACATTATTGTTTTTCTAAGCCAGACATTTTTTCCTTCATTTTTTGATTTTTTTCCCCTGTAATTTTCACTCATCAAATGTAATGTAGTCCTTTTTATATAAAAAGGCTGTTACACTTGATATCTTATGTAAAAGTGTTCAAATCTTTAAAAGTTTTATCACCTTGTATTTTAATAACTTCTGATACAAAGTTTGCCTTAGTTTAATGTGCCTATGGCATGCACATAATCTAAATTCTCATACAAGTTCTATTTGTTATTTGTCCATTTTCAAATTCTATGTAAGGTAAGTTACAGTCTGTTCTGTTAGTAATGAAGGAACTACAAAGTAAATGTGATGCAATCTATAGCTTTTTCTTCAAGAAATGATAAAAACTTAAATTTGCCATCTTCTAAAACTTGGGAGTGCCAAAAGAAACTTGTACTGTACCATTAAGAGGACAAGGAAACTAACAATAATGAGGATCAACCAAGGGATTAAAGGACACCTGGAATACTTAAGGCTTTGAAGAGCCATGTAAGAAGAAATTTTCACTATGTTGAAGAAAGCTGGCTTTACAAATGAACATCTTGAGAAATTCATCAATTACTGAGAAAGTACCCCAAGCTTGAGGCTTGATACTTAAACATGCTTCAAAGCAAAAGCTGATTTGCTATTACTGTCTTTTGCAGTGGTACGAAGATGGTGTAACAGCCACATTTTTATTGCCCAAAGGCAAAAGGTTCTGTAATAATTACACATTTTTCATGCTAGATATTGGGCAGTATTGATTTTTTTAAGGATACTAATTAGATATGATGAGTGTACAACTATTTTTTATTTTTTTGAGATTAGAGCCTCTTGCTTTTTGGGTTGTATATTTACCTTTAGACCATTCTTCAAAGAAGCTAGTCCCAATGGGCTATAGCATGCTTTGTGATGTTCCAGAGATACTGAGCTCAACATTTTTGTTTGACCCCAAATTGATTGAGTCAACCGCTTTCATGCAAGATGGAGCATCTCCACATATTGAACCCTGCAAACAGCAGTTTGTGACAAAATTTCAGCAATAAGAGCAATTAGTCAAGCATTTCCTATCAGCGTTGCCATCAGGCTGGTTTTCACCCAGACGAGCCAGTTTTTAAATTCATGTTCCAGATTGATTATTAATTTGTCTGGTTTTGGTAGAAATTGTGATAAAACAAAATAAATTTATAAAAATATTTGAGTATTTTATTTTAATGGTTAAAGATTTTAACATCACATCCCACCCAAATTTATCCCTAGGCTAAGAGTGACTGAAAATATACTTATAAAATTCTAACTTGCAAATATCTATTAGGTCTGTTCCAACATAAGTCCCAAACTGGTTTAAAACTGGTACAGTTCTTGGCTGTAAAATGACATTGTGCATGCCTTGTATGGTTTCAAATTCAAACCAGTCAGTGATTTGTGTTGGAACAAACCTATTGCCCAGGTCAGCAATTTTGAAAAGGTGGCAACAATATTTCCTATTGTGTTGCTACATCATTTTCTAGAACTTAGTTCAGGTGATTTTTTTGATTGTAGGAACTCAGTGTGGTTTATCAAGAATGCCAAATTTGCAACAATCTTGAAAGACAGTGTCACAATGCATGTGTGAAGCATCACACAGGATCAATTACAGTTTGCATTAAACACACTGTTCGTCACATGAAGGTTTTATATCTTAAGATAGTGATAGCGCTTAATATGGTTACCAAAAGTCTTTCATCTCTGTATGGAATGAGTATCTTGTACAAATAACATGTTTGTTGTCTTCAGTGCCAATAGTACTGTAGTGGTGAGTTTTGTTACTACTAATTTTCTATGGGAATGACTTTAAATTGAAATACTTTAATTATAATCACCTGTTATATTAAAATATATGTGAAAAATTAGGATAAATTAAAGGAAAGATGAAAACTATTTTCACTTTTTACTTATATTAAGAAAATACTTATGGATTGGCTAATTCATTTCACTTTATTTTCAAAAAGTTGAAATACTAAGATATTTATAATATGAATTTGAATTATTCAAAAATGTGGGGGAAGGTACAGTTATTTCATGAAAATATATAATAAAGTAATTGAAATTCTTAATTTTCAAGAAAAAATGTTTATGCCATAAACAGTGCACTTAAAAAACTGTTTTTGTATTGTTTAATAATTCAATCCTTACTGTATAATTATCATTTTCTAATAAAGCAAGTTGTGAATAATTTACTACTAAGTCATTTTTGGCTTTACTAAAAGTTTTCTAATGATTATTACTTAATCTGTTGAGTATACTAAAAGTAAAAATCCATATATATATATATTACGAAGTTAAATTTGATCAATTTATTAACCTTACTAAAACATCTTTTGAAGATAAATTGATATATTCTAATGCTTTAAGATAAATTACATCTTTTACTTCAATTAAATGAATTATGAAATAACAAAATATATTTTAACAGTATCACAAATTGTTTTAAATCTTTTTTCTAGTGATAATTCTTTAAAGAAATTATGATAAGTTTTATTTAAAAGTTTTTACTCCAAGAAATTTAAATTTATGCTTTAAAACAAATTTTACATTTAAGAATTTAATGTTTATGATGATATGTATTGAAATTTTGCTGACTCAGGTTAAAACTTCATTAATCATTTTGTATATTTATAATTTTCTCTTTTTGCCTTGTCACAGAATGTGAATAAAGAAACGACTAAGCATTTCTGTAAATAATTTAAATATTCATTTGTTTAAAATAATTTTAAAAATCTTATTAAAATAAGAAATAAACATATGGCTGTCGATGTGTTTTCAACATAAAACAAAATAAAATAATTCATAAAAAAATATTAGTTTCAGTAAGACTTTGTTCTTTTTAAAATTCTATCTCAGTAATAAAATAAGTTTTGTTTTAATTTAATTATAATTTGCATTTAATTATGTTATAAAAATGATAATTTAAAAATATAAAAGAGTGCATTTAGAAAAGTCAATTTGTGTCAAGGTCAATTATAATAATAAATTATACAGAAAAAGTAAAAACAGCATAAATATTTGTAATTCAATTTCCTTGTGGCAAAATATCGTGATATTTTAAATTTATAATTAAAAACAAAATAAGTTTGTTTTACTAATGAAAACATTTTTAATATGAGAGAGAGAATTTATATAAAATAATATTTTCAGACAAATTTTAAAGAGTAAACTTTAGTTTCAATGTTTCAAAGTTTAAAATTACTGCAAACATCAAAATATAGAAAATCCATTAATTTTAAATTGCAGGTTAAAACAACAATGAATTAATACTAGTTTCTATAATTTATAACAAAACTTTGGTGTAATGTTTTAGCCAAAGAGACCAAAAGAAAAGATATATAATTAATCCAATATAAAAGATTTTCAGATTAGAATTAGATAAATATATTAAAAATCTGAAAGAAACTGTTTTATAAAATGAGAGTTCAAACTTTTGTTTTTCAAAAAAATATGAATTTCATATCTGAAAATTTTGTTATGTAAATCAAAGTTTGCATTGAAAGAAACAAAATGCTGTTGATTACATTATGATATGTATTATTTTTTTCCAGTATCAGGTAAAAATTTTTATGCAAATTTATTTATTTTTTCATATTCTATAAAATAGTATTTATTTATTTATTTATTTATTTTTGAATTTGATTTAATAGATGAACAATGTCAGTACCTCATATTTGATTTAAAAATTAATCCTAAACAATTTTAAGAGAGAAAAATTGACATGGATTGGAATTTTTGATTAGGATAATTTACAGTATTGAATAAATTTTATAAATAATAAATTA